AATTGTCTTCTAGACCATAAGATCTTTAAGAGCATAAATGTTATTACAATATTATTGACTTTTCTCTATGCTGTACTTTTTATCTCTATGTACCATCTATTGATTTTGACAAAGATGACAAAATAACGTAGAGAGGAAAATTAAACCTTAATAGTCAACATAATAATATTATTGGCTCAAAGGAATATACTGACATCAAGTCAAAAGGAAGACAGGAAATGCTGACATGCTGAGTTAAAGATTAAGGTCAACATTTCTGGAGAGCATGACAGGAGCACATTAGAAAGCACCAGTTAAGATCTAGTCAATCTTGCTTGTTATTGTTGCCATGTTATAAGTGTGTGTTCCTGGTCTTGCTAGTGAGTACTTCTTGCAAATAAAATAAACATTAACATGTTTATATACATAGAATACATTGTGCTAATCCTCTGGATAGTATGGTATTTCAAGAAATAACAAGTTTCACAAGAAATACAATCATTATGTTATACACCAGAAACTATTATAACATTGTGTGTCAACAGTACCTCAATACCGAAAAAAGAAAGACATAACCAATTACCAAATCAGTGAAATATTAATTTCATATTAAAAAAAAGCAAAAGAGAAAAAGGGGAAAACATAAATTGACCATATATATCTATATCTGGATTCTTTAGTCTGTTCCATTGTCTATATATATTTTATAAGTCTCTTTTCATGAATACCAAACTGTCTTCCTTATATAGCTTTATAATAAGTCTTGAAATCAGGTAAGGTAAATTCTCCAAATTTGTCCTTATTTTTAAAAAATGCTTTGGTTATTCTTGGCTTTTTGCATTTACATATTCATTTTAGAATCAGCTTGTCAATTTCTACAAAAGAGCTTTCTGGACTTTTGACTGAAATTGGGTTGAAAGCATAAATGAATTTGGTGAGAACTGATATATTAACAATATTGACTCTTACAATCTATGAACATGGTTGATCTTTTCATTAATTTAGATCTTCCAAAAATTAAAAAAAATCAATATTTACAAGCACATGAAATATGCCAGGCACAGAATTGGGTGCTTTACATGTATACTATTAATTAAAATTCTATCATTCCTTTCATTGGACAGATTAAACACAGAAGGAAATAGGGAGGTGGAGAGGCTCAGTAATTCCCCACAGTCAGTAAATGGAATGAAAGGGTTGGGCCCCCATTCATTAGACTCCATTTTCTATTCTTCAATTTACTTACCTCAGCTCCAACTAGGGTTAAGTGAGGGCCACCATTTATGCCTGTGAACCTCTCTAAAGTTCAGATTGTTCCTGAACAATCAAGCATTTCAAACTCCCACTGTCGTAAGGACTTTACTGTTATGATAAGGAAGTAGTATTAAATCATGTGGAAGCATGTGGGCATTACAGATTAAATTATATTTTCCAAATTACACTTGAGAACTGAGTGTGCCAATTGCCCACTTTTTAATATCTACCATGTTCACAGCACCTGGGATCTGGGTTTATGAACAGCATAAAATTCTTGTGCCCCATTGCAAGAAAAGCTATTTCTATTTATTAATTATCCTTGCAAACTGGTTTAGGATTTTTAAAAGGTTTTATAAAAGATCTGATAGCTCTTGATATCGTTTTGAGGCATTGCCTGTTATGGGTATTCAGTGACCTTTACAAACTTAAACGTGCCCCCCACTCCCATCCCCAGTAACTTAAAAAGCAATTGCAACAAGCCGGAAGTGGTTGTAATTAAAATTAATCAGAGTTCTGATCTATTTCTGACAAGCAGTAAGCTCAGGTTTAATTTTTAAAAAGAATTCATGAAGAAAAAGGTCATAGTGGTGTTGGACCCTGGCTCACGGGTGCCAACGTGGCCCGGTGGACGCCCCAGAGACCCAGACCCCAGACAGGCAGATGCAATTAGCAAGAGGGTTTATTGAACGTTTGCGCAAACGGGCTCTCCGCCTCCGAGGAGGAAAAGAGCCCCGATTAGCAATTACAGGGATCTTTTAAAAGGCAAAAGGAAAGAAACTGCCTAAAGACAAAAGAGCCGCGGGAGTCGCATGGCATCCAGGTTGATTTTGGGGAGGGTCAACATGAACCTATTCAGGCACATTCCAATCAGGGTGTGGGGGGGGAAACGGTTTTCTTATTGTAAACAGAATGCTTTTAGTTGCTAAAATTTCAGGAAGAAGACTGGATGGGCTGCCTCTGGATTAGGGCTGGCCCTACTTACAAGGGGGGGAGGTTTCTTCAGTGGGAGATGTAGTCGTAAGGAAAAAAAGAATGGATGACACTTGGTAAGGATGGTAAGGCGGGCTTTATTTAGGGCCATCCAGAGAGTTCTGGGGACTACTGCAATAGGACTTTACGATGGGGTGGGGGTGGGGGGGGGTTAAGGCGCAACTCCTACTACCACGTGGGCAAGTGGAAACTGATGGGAGGAGGGGAGGGGCCAGTGAATGGGAAATCACTACCAGGAGAAAGCAACAAGGTCGTTTTGGCTAAACCCACCTAGCAGGATTCTTGCTGAAAACAGCCCAGGCGGATCAGACTTCACCTGGGGGCGGGGGAACGACCTAGTCACTCGTTGAGAGCCATCGGATATTGAGGATGTGTGTGGGGGGGTGTTTTGGTTAAGCTGACTTAGCAGGGCTCTTGCTACAACTGGATTTTAGAAGCAAATGCAGAGATAAGCCAGGAGGGTTGTTAGCAGCCTGGCTAATGTTTGGCCACGCAGACAATCCTTGTCACGACCTCAAGTCTGTCCGGCCACATTCCTTCTGAGAGCTTCCCAGGGCTTCCTGTCCCAGCGCTCGGCCTCTAGGCATCCTGAGATCAGTCTGCACGCACGCAGTCCTGCAAAGCCCAAGGCCTAGAGCACGTATGAGGCTCCGGTTTGGAGTCTTGCACTGGGTGATTCCCCCACGCGGGCCACGGAATGGACTGCGCGCAGGCCCCCCGCGGCCGGGCCGCCCGCACCCCCGCACCTGCACCCGTGCGGCCGGGCCGCCTGCACCCCCGCACCTGCACCCCCCCGCACCTGCACCCCCGCGGCCGGGCCGCCTGCAGCCCCGCACCTGCAACCCCCGCACTTGCACCCCCGCGGCCGGACCGCCTGCATCCCCGCACCAGCACCCCCGCACCTGCAACCCCCGCACCTGCAGCCCCGCACCTGCATCCCCGCACCTGCACCCCCCGCACCAGCACCCCCGCACCGCACCTGCAACCCCCACACCAGCACCCCCGCACCTGCACCACCCCCCCCGCACCTGCACCCCCGCGGCCGGGCCGCCTGCAGCCCCGCACCTGCAGCCCCGCACCTGCAACCCCCGCACTTGCACCCCCGCGGCCGGACCGCCTGCATCCCCGCACCAGCACCCCCGCACCTGCAACCCCCACACCAGCACCCCCCGCACCTGCAGCCCCGCACCTGCACCCCCGCACCTGCACCCCCGCACCTGCACCCCCGCACCAGCACCCCCCGCACCTGCACCCCCGCACCTGCAACCCCCACACCAGCACCCCCGCACCTGCACCCCGAGCGCCGCGAAACCCGAGCCGGGCTGTGCGGCCTGTTTGTGGGATCAGGGAGGGGCGTGACGGGGCTCAGGGACGCGCGCGGCGCCGGGGGCCCACCCAGGAAGGGCGGGGAGAGGAGTGGGCGCCAAGCGGAGCGGCTCACCAGCCGCGGGGCCGAGCGGGGAGGATGTCACCGGCGGCAGCTGGCGGCCGCGGGACCCGCGCGCGGTGGGGCTGAGCCGGTCCCGGGGCTTCGGGAGCGGCCCGGCTGCCGCGCCCCCTGCGGCGGAGAGGACCCGCGCCCGCCGCAGGGAGTCGAGCCCGGCGCCGCCCGCGGCATCAGGTGTCGTGGGAACGGCGCCCGCGGCGAGCGGGGGGACCGCGATGAGGCGAGCCGTCGGCCACGCGCAGCGGGAGGGTCGGGGCCCCGGGCGTCGGCGCCATGGAGGGGCCCCGGGGGCCGGCGGGGTGCGAGCTGCAGCGCGTGGGCTCCGCGCCCGCCCCGCAGTCGGCGCAAGGTCAGGGGCCCTCGGGCGGCTGGGGCCGGGCTGGGGCCCGGGGGGGGGGTCCGGGCGGGGCGGATGGACGCTCGGGCGGCGGGGGGCGCGGCGGGGGGCGGGGGTCCGGGCGGGTGTGCGCTGGGGCGGCGGGGGGCGGGCGAGGGTCCGGGGGGGCGCCCCGGCGGCGCAGCCCGGAGGCTCAGCTGCGACCCCCGCCCGGCGCGAGGCCCCCGCGAAGCCTGAGTCCTGGGGGGGGGGGTAGGCGAGCGCATGAAGCCGCCCGCGGCCCCCTGGCGCCGGGGAAGACCCGGGAGGGCCGGGGCCGAGCGCGTCCCTGCGCAGCCACAGCCTCCAGGCTCCAGGGGCCCCCGGGGGGGGGGAAGGAAACCGGGCCGCAGCCGGGGCCTGGGCGGGCGGAGGCGGACCGCGCAGCCCCCCGCGGGCAGACCCGCGCCTCGGGGACTCGGGGGTCGGCGTGGGAGCTGGTGAAAGGCAGAGGGGAAGGGGGCTCCTGGGGCCCAGGCGCTTAAGCGTCCGCCCTCGCGGGAGGCCGGCTCCCCGCCGCACGGGATCGAGTCCCCGGGGCTCCCCGCCCCGCGGGACGGTCCGCGTCCCCCCTGCATCTGCGGGCTCCGTCTCTCAAACAAACAAACAAATCTTAAAGAGAAGAGGAAGAAAGGCGGGAGGGAAGGAAAGAAGACTTCGGTGTCTGGTGAAGTGAGAAAGCGCTTCTGGAGAAATTCACACACTTGTCGGCTGCGAGCTCTTTTATTCACGCACATTCCCGGGCTTCCTCCCCGGGGGGCCCCTTGCGGGGTGGGGGGGGGGTCGGCGCTCCTTCCGCGGCGCGCGGCCTGACACTTTGCAGGGTTTTTTTAAAAAGGATTTTATTTATTCATAAGAGACCCAGAGAGCGGCGGAGCCACAGGCGGAGGGAGAAGCAGGCTCCGTGCGGGGAGCCCGACGCGGGGCCCGATCCCGGGACCCGGGGTCACGCCCTGGGCCGAAGGCAGGTGCTCAACCGCTGAGCCCCCCGGGCGCCCCCACTTTGCAGTTTTGTACGGTGCGCGCCCCGAGGCGCCTCCTCTGTGCCTTGGCAAAGCTAACGTTTGCAGCTGGTGGTGCGTCCTTGTGAACGACTCGCCGCGCCTCTGGGGCAACCCGACGCCCTGTGCTGGGTCAGTTAGCTGCGGGTGGCTCGCGTCCTCTTTGCTCCCGTGGGTTACTGTTACACGCGTGCCTTGTTGGTTTCCACTTTACTTTTTCCTTGTATCAAAAGAGAAAGGGCTTCTGGGTCCTCCAAAACGTAATTTCCCAACAGCTTTTATTATTACCAGCCTCACTGCTGCTGGTGGTATTCATGTGCAAGTTTTGATTTACGGTTTTAAGATCCCATTTGAATCTTTAAATGCTGCCTTTTGAAGAAGGAAGTAAAATGTTCTTGAATGGAAAGCCTAAGGAATTGATAGCTTTTTTCTCTCCCGTACGGTGTTGCCTCATACTTTGCACTTTGAGACATAAGAACCGTCCTTGAAGGAGTTCTGTCATAATTATTTCATTTTGAAGATACGGCATGTGCTTATTTTTTTATGCCACTGTAAACTGTTTTATGCTTGGCTGACTCAGCACTGCCCTTGTTAATCTTTTCATTAATTAAGATTGTACAAACTTGCCCCATAGCTAGTTTTGATGGCTAATAATTTTATCTATTATTTGGAGATGTCGGGTTTGCTAAGAATGGTTGAATCAGAACCAAAAGTGGGATTCTGTATTTGGAAAGCAGTGTGATACCTAAACAGAGACTTGTTAGATGCTCTATTACTATAGTTCGACTCCCTCCAACCCCCACCTTGATTTCTGAGTAGGAGTCACTGTAAAAATCTCCCATGGAGCCGGCCTTTCTGTTCTGTGTGGAAGATCTCAACTCTCCCAGGTGGTTTGGGGTATTCTATTTTGAACAGGTTTCCATAATATTAAGTAATCTGAGTGAAAATCCAAGGTAAGTCCCCACTTCTGGAGTGACCTGTTTGTCATTTTGGACTACAAAGGCAATAAAAATAGCCCCATCCTTTTCAAAGAGACAAGAGAAGTAGTAGATGGGAGGTACTTTGGAAAACAAAATGTACTACATAATATTAGGCCTTCAATAAAAATCATATACGAGTGATTGGGATTTGGACTTAAGTTGAGCTTCTGCATTCCCCTTTGGGGAGCAGTTAAGTTTCCTGAGCCTCCACTGCCCCTTAAGAATCTTGTTTCCTGTTTAGGAAGTTGACTTGGCTGTTAAGGCGATAGGGGGCGTGAGGCTGCGTGCTCAGTGTTGGACTCTGTGCAAGGGGTTTATTTGCATTTTTATTTAATAAGAATCATATGAGGATAGGTATTGTTATTACCCTTTTGCAGAAGAAAAAGCTGAGGCTCAGAGAGGCCGAGTGACTTGCCTAGGGTCACAGAAGTGTCAAGCCCTAGAACCAGGATCACATACTAAACATGGCCTTAGTTCCCTACACCACACCTTGCTACCTTTAACTCAGTGTTTTTTTTTTTTTAAAGACTATTAGAGAGCATAAGCAGGGGGAGGGGCAGAGGGAACGCAGTCTCCTCACTGATCAGGGAGCCCAAGGGGGGGTGGGCACTGGATCCTAGGACCCTGGGATAATGCCCTGAGCTGAAGGCAGGTGCTTAACCAACTGAACCACCCAGGCACCCCTAACTCAGCAGTTTTAAAGTTATTTTGATAATCTGATGAAGCTTTAAGTATCGCTGCGGGAAAAATGGCCATATCTTCATATATACAAAATTTTGCATTTAATTTCTGGGGCTACCTACCTTCTAAAACTCTTCCATAGGCTTTCAGGTCACCCTGCTCTAACTGTATCTGTTACTGAATGAGGCACAGAGTGTATACCTGCCATCTAAATGTCCATATATTCCTCTACCAGTAGAAGCAGCCCATGAATTCAATAACTGTCAACTGAGCGAAAATTTACTTAGTAACTGAAACAAAAACAGGACATGTTACATTCTAGTGGATTCTATAAACATCTAAAGTGCAATTTAGAACAATGGTGTATTTGAAACCAGATCTTTTGTTTGCGCTTCTTCAACTATCCTACTATAGCAAAGAATAAAGATTAGTGCCTTTAGTTACAGAATGTAAACAATCTTTTTTTTCTCCCCCAGAGATGGCAAATCCTACAGTTGTTATAAGTAGCTGCAGCTCTCATGAAGAGGAAAATCGTTGCACTTTTAGCCAGCACACATCGCCCTCTGAGGAGCTTCTGTTAGAAGACCAGATGAGGCGAAAACTCAAATTTTTTTTCATGAATCCTTGTGAAAAGTTCTGGGCTCGAGGTAGAAAACCATGGAAGCTTGCCATACAAATTCTAAAAATTGCAATGGTGACTATCCAGGTAAGCATCTCAAATCTCAAGTTTAGCGAAGACCTCTTTTAGTTACAGAGGAGTAAGAACAGTTGTTTTCTTTTTTTTTTAATTTTTTTTATTTATTTATGATAGTCACACAGAATGAGAGAGAGGCAGAGACATAGGCAGAGGGAGAAGCAGGCTCCATGCACCGGGAGCCTGACGTGGGATTCGATCCCAGGTCTCCAGGATCACGCCCTGGGCCAAAGGCAGGCGCTAAACCGCTGCGCCACCCAGGGATACCAAGACAGTTGTTTTTTCTAACTCTGAACTGTATGTATAATGGAGAACAATAAATAAGGAAACACACAATCTTAAACCCCTCTCTCTGCAGTGTTTGTGAAAGAAGACTGGGGTTTTCCCCTTTTTTCCCCTTCTTATCTTTCCTTAACGATTTTAGTTGCATAATAGAATCAGTTTTTAGGAAAAGAAAATTTTAATATTTGCTTTTTAATAAAGAAGCTGAAGGTTTCTAAATCAGCCATAAAAACTAGTGGTTGCCCAACCAGAGGATTCTTTTCCTTCCTAGTTTCCTGGGAATCTCTCTCTCTTCAGAAACTTTAAAGGTTTCTGTTGAGGCGAGTGCTTGGATTCTCATAGCCCTATAGTGGGAAAATGTGGAGTTAACTATAAAGGAGTGGCATAGGTAGTGAAATATGAGACTTCATTTTAGGAGAGTTTGAATCTCATTTCCTTGACATTTTTTCTTTATCAATACTGATTGTGATTTACTCTTGTGAAGATATATTTTCCTACTGGTGAGAGTAATTATCCCATTTCACAGATGAGAATACTGAGGCTTAATGAGGTAAAATAAAGAAGAGTAGAGCTGGGATTCAATTCAGATTTTATTCTAAGACCTGTGTTCTTAATTACTCCTAAATTTTTTAGAGAGCTCATCTAACCATCTTCTGTTTCCTAGAGTGGTCAGGAAGAAAAGTGACCAATGGTTTAAGATATTAAGGCTGTTAGTAATAAGCGTATAGAGGCATTTAGGTACATTCTTAAAAGGAACTGAGGGTTTTTCTTTTTTTAAAGATATTATTTTTAAGTGATCTCTACACCCAACATGGGACTTGAATTTACAACCCGAGATCAAGAGTCATATGCTCTCTGAGGGTTTTTCTTTTCTTTCTTTAAAAAGATTTATTGGGGGGGGGGGGACAGAGAGAGAGAGAGAGGGAGAGGGAATCTCAAGCAGACTCACTACCAAGCATGGAGCCCAACAGAGGGCTTGATCCCACAACCCTGAGATCATGACTTGAGCTGAAACCAAGAGTCTGTCTCTCACCCAAGTGAGCCACCCAGGTGCCCCGGGTGATGTTTCTTAATTGTGGTGTTTCTTTAATCTGTATTAGAACAGCCAAACAAATACTACATAAAGACTTTGTAACTGAGCAAAGAAGTGTCACTTGGTGACAGGTACCCTCTTCTCAGAGGGAAGAAGGTAGACTTCCTGTTCATTTGGAGATTTTGTGTCTGCAGGAGCAAAAACAAAGATATCTGCAATGATGGGCACCCTCCTAAATGTTCCCTTTCCCCACAGCCTGGCACAGTCTCGGGGTTACAGGGGTTTTCTCTCTGCCATGGGTATCCCTTGAGGTCAGGGACCATTGCTTCTGCACTGCATCCTTGGGACCCAGCTCAGTGCCGGCATGTGGGGGGAACTCATTGATAATTGGTCTTTGGGAATATTCTGGAGGCTTTTTGTCATCAGCTTCATTAGATGCCTTGGCTGTCATCTTATTGGGATTTATATAGGACACTTGGCTTAAAGAGGCTCTTCAGAGATAGAAGTCCAGTTAGATGGGGAGCACTGACATGTGTGGGGTGCAGGGCATACATCACAAGGAGAGGTGAAAAGAGAAGAGATTTTTGTGCTCTATTTCACTCCAGTCAGACTCTAGACAACTCTGTGTAGCATGGTAGTGTGGCTAGAACTTGGATTCAGTCTGTTAGACTTGGGTTCAGATTTTGACTATACGCTTGGTAGTGATGTGACTTGAAAAAATTATTTAATTTCTTTGGGCCTTTATGTGCCTATCTATAAAATGGGATTAGTATGAAGGAAGTTCCTGGTATGGCACATAGGTGCTCAGTGTTGTTACCTTTTTCCGTATAAAATACACCCTGCCTCACTCTGGGATCCAGAGTGTATGTTCTAAACTTACAGTGTGTGTGTGGTGTGTAGTGTGTGTGTCAAAAAGAAAGTGAGAGCAAGAGTGTGTGGGAGAGAGAAGGAGGGGAGGGAGCAAGAGAGCAAGAGATTGAGATGATTTCGAAGGAAAGAGAAGGTGAAAGAGAATCTTGGAGTAAAGTTTCAGGTGTGATGGAAAGCGCTGATGTTAATATGACAGTGTAGCAGTTAAACAACTTTTTTGTACATGAATAACCGAGTTTCATGTAAAACTCTGGGGTCAATCCCAGATAGTAAGGATACATTATGTTAATATCCTTTAATTTAGAGATCAGTTGAAAGAATGTTTTTATTTTTGGTCTTATTGTCACAGTTTTGGTAACTGACAATTAACTATAGTGATTTGATAAGAGGACTTAGATTTATTTAAGACATTTCTTATATTGCTTGTACACCTGCTTCAAAACCTTCTTGGTGTCCTGCACAATTCATTTAAAAAAATCTTCTACTTGGGGCACCTGGGTGGCTCAGTGGTTGAGCATCTGCCTTTGGCTCAGGTCGTTATCCCAGTGTCCTGGGATCAAGTCCTGCGTCAGGCTCCTTGCAAAGCGCTTGCTTCTCCCTCTGCCTATGTCTCTGCCTTTCTCTAAGTGTCTCTCATGAATAAATAAATAAAATCTTTTAAAAAAATCCTCTACTTGCTGTAGAAGAACCCTGCACCATCTGCCTCCAGCTTTTCTGCTTTTTTTTTCTTGCTGTTCCTCCAGTTGGATTGTCCTGGGATCCTCAGTACCCACCCCCCTCAAGTGCGAAGTTCCACTCTACCTTTTTAGCCTCTTTCCTGTGCTCCTTAAATGTCCCCACCTGAGTTATGTACGTACTTCAGGGGCTCGCTCTTTCTTTCTTTCTTTCTTTCTTTCTTTCTTTCTTTCTTTCTTTCTTTCTTTTTTATTGATCTCATACTTGTGATCTCCCAATATAGTTTTTTAAAAATATATTTTATTTAAATTTAATTTGCCAACATATAACACCCAGTGCTCATACCATCATCCCAGTGCCCTCTCATTGTTTTTTTCTTAAGGAAACCTTTCCATTTCTTTAGGTACAGTGACCTTGCTTCTCTAAACTCCTAAAGAAGGGGATCCCTGGGTGACTCAGTGGTTTGGTGCCTGCCTTCGGCCCAGGGTGTGATCCTGGAGTCCCGGGATCAAGTCCCACATCAGGCTCCCTGCATAGAGCCTGCTTCTCCCTCTGCCTGTGTCTCTCCCTCTCTCTCTGTGTGTCTCTCATGAATAAATAAATATAATCTTTAAAAAAAATAAACTTCTAAAGGAGGACTTCTCTGAGCTAAAGCTTTTGATGGGGACAGCAGCATTAAGTAAGATCGTACGTGAAAATGTGCAAAACCACTTTCTTTCATTTGAAAACTAGAAGCCTACCTTATCCTCAAGGCCAAATTAATTTACAGCTACCAAAGGTTTAATTTCTGTTGAATATTCAGGATCAATTAGACATTGACTCTTGAATAAATAAATTGACCTTTTATTTTCTTGTTTTTGTCACTCCCTTTTCCTCTTTTCTTTTAAGCTGGTCTTTTTTGGGCTAAGTAACCAGATGGTTGTAGCTTTCAAGGAAGAAAACACTATAGCATTCAAACATCTCTTCTTAAAAGGATATATGGACCGAATGGATGACACATATGCAGTGTACACACAACGTGATGTATATGATCAGATCATCTTTGCAGTGAACCAGGTAAATCAAGTATGTGTGTTCTTACTTTGGAGAAAGAACAGACAGGGAAGTTGTTAGCCATGTACACAATAGAAACTGACATTCTATCGTAGAAGGGTGAACGTTTCTGTGGTGATATGTATAAATGATATGCATAAAACCATCGTAAAATAATTTTTAAAAAATATCACCATCAAACTGTGAACCTAGAAATTGAGAAAAGCTTTTGTTTAGTAACAGAGAGACAGAAACTTTAAAGACTTAATTAAAAAAATCAGAGCTTTGAGCATGAATGCCTCAAAGATTTAAAATTATTAACCATGGCCCTGGTTGTTAGTAGCCATTAAGTCTTGGGAGTTTATACTTTCAGGGGCCCTTAACAAATAATGAGAATATTAACTTTGCAGAGCACATATAGCAACTAAGACCTGAAAATTCATTTAAAAAAATAAGGGCTTTGTGTCAGACATGACAATGATTTTATTGTAATATTGATTCACTGCCCCCCAAATAAAAATTATTATAGTGTGATTATAGTTCTTCATTATCTAGAGATAATCTGCACTGTGAGATAGTAAATTGCTAGAATGACATATCTGTTTATGGCACCAAGGCTTTCTGTTAACACTTGGATTGTGTAAACTGGCCAGAAATCTACAGTAATGGAAGTAAACTGTGTAAGTTACTAAACAGAACAATGGATCTGTGTGAAAAATTTCTCTGTCAAGGCAGAGCTGCAGAGGCAAGTGAGGACAGACACGCAGCCTGATTAAAGCCCCTGGAGGCCACAGCCACTTGGGGGCCCCATTGATCAGTCCCACAGGTCACCTGCCTTCCAGCCATAGCTCCATATTCCTGTCCCAGAGTCCTGTGACTCAAGCTCCAGGACTGCCCTGTAGTTGGACACAGTCCTGCACTTGCCCCTGACCATCTAGCTCTTACACAGACCTCCACAAAGAGTCTTATTAGGTCAGCAAGGAAGTTTGGCCATAGCCAAAAAATGTTAGCAAGTTACCTGCAGTCCCCTTGCACTTTAGATCTTTTACGTTTCAAGATCTTAGAAAGTTTAAGACATACAATTTCTGTGGTCAGGAGGTTTGTATCTTTAGGTAATTCCTGTGAGGATTGCTTCAAAAACAGTGGGCACTCAGAAGGGCTAGGGACCTCATACTCGTATGACTCTACTTCATGACCCCTGCCTGTCTTTCCAGCTTTACTTCTCATCACGCACCATCGCAGGCACACTGTTCTACTTGGGACCTTACCACATTCAAGATCTTTTACCTTCTTTTTCACTTAATGGACGGTTTACCTCTAACACCTTCCCACCCCCAATATAAAACTACCAATTTGGCTCTGAGTAGCTTTAGCAAGGCTTAATACACTTATTTCCTTGAATAGAGAATAAAACCCTCAAAACCGAGTATCTCCACTGTTATACTACTTGCCCCCTACATGTAGGACATAATGCTGCTTAACAACTTATGCAGCTTCCTTTTATTACCATAGATTTCTGGCCCCTTCCCCCAGTCCCAGTGCTAACAGAGAGCTTAGTGCTGTAATTATATATCCTGTCCTAGGAGTTTACCATCTCACTGTGAATTGGTCAGTTCTAATAATGAGGAGCAACTATTGCATTATAATAATTTTTACCTTATCATAAATTTGACAAACATTTGAATACCTATTCTATGCCTACTACTGTTTTAACTGCTGGGGTTGGAACAGTGGCCTTGATAAGTTCCTTGGCCTGTGGAATTTACATTCTAATGCAGGAAATGGATTTTAACAAGTTCAATCAAAATCATTTGGTTTCAGATACTGATGAGTGCTATGAAGTAAAATTAAGTAGCATAAGGGCATTAACAATTGCCTTCAGGTGGTCAGAAAAGGCCTCTCTGAGGCCTGGAAGTCTGGGGAAGACTATACCAGGCTGAAGGAGTAGCAACAGCAAAGGTTCTCGAAGCCAGAAAATGATAGGTATGCTTGAGGAAGAACAAAGGAGGTGAATATGGCTGGGCTAGGTCTGGTCTCTCAGGGCTTTTTAGGCCCTGGAAAGAAGCTTTGAAATTTATTCTGAGAGAGACTGGAAGCCATGGGAGGGCTTTCAGTAGGGGAGAGACTTCAATATACATTAGCAAAGGCTAGTATTTATTCTCCAAATGTTTAGTATCTGTTGTGTATCAGATATTGGGTTTTGTTTTTTAAAGATTTATTTATTTGAGAGAGTGTGTGTGTGTTTGTGTGAACGGAGGGAGGGCGGAGGGAGGAGACAAGCAGACTCTGGTGAGCCCAACGTGGGGTTCAATCCCCAAATCCAGAGATTATGACCTGAGCTGAAATCAAGAGTCAGATACTCAACCACCTGAGCCACCCAGAGACCCCTCAGATACTGTTTTTGATGCATGGGTACTAGTGACCAAATAGACAAGTCGAGGAAATCATATTTTAATAGGGAGAGATAAGCAGTAAATAAGATAATAAACAAGGATATTATTTGTCAGTTGGTTATAAGTATACTATATTAAAAAAAAAAAAAAGCAGCAGGCAGAGTGAATGAATGGAGGTGGTCAGGAGAGGCCTCTCTGGTAAATGACAGGTGGACAGGGCAGACCGGAGTGTGGGGAGACATGCTGTAGCCATCTCAGGGAGGAGCCCTCCAGGGAAAAGGGGTAGCATGAACAGAGCATAGAACAGTTTTGTGTTTTGGGTATTGCTCTCCTAAGTGCATTACATGCATTAATTTCACTTATTTCTGTAACAGTCTCATGAGTTCCATATGGAGACTAGACTGTGGTGAAAGGCAGATGGCAGGCAGGAAGACCACTGAAGAGATTCAGCTTGTCAGGGTGAGAGATGAGGGGGTGTGGACAAGGGTGAGAGCAGTGAAGGTGATGAGAGGCAGTCAGATTTGGGGTATAATTTGAAAGTAATGCACAACTTTCTGATGGACCAGAAGCGGAGTATGAGAGAAAGAGGCTAAAGGATCATCATTCCTAAGCTTTAGCCTGCAAAGCAGAGAGGCTTATGGAGTCACTGATTAAAAAGGGCATTTTCATGGAAGGAGCTAGTTTTTCTGTTGGCACATTTATGTTTGAGATATCTCTTAGACACCAGAGGTGTCCTGCAGGCAGAGTCCTACCCATGTATGGAATTCAGTGGAAAGGTCAGGAGATGTAAATTTGGAAGCCATCAGCATACAGATAATGTTTCAACACGGGACTGATTGAGATCACTTATGGAGAGAATGTGGATGAAGAAGTAGAGGACCAAATCCAAGGGCATTCTGAGACATAGAGTTTGGCAGGAGCAGGATTCAGCAGAGGAGACTGATACTGTGTCCCAGAAGTCAAGTGGAAAAGTATCCTTGGAAAGCACTAGGCTGCATCAAACACATGGACAGGCTACGTTAAATAAGAACCATGCCTCAGATGTGATAAAATGCTGCTCTTGGTGGGCTGGATGAGGCCTAGCTCAGCATCTATCCCATAAGGCTCAGATTATAAATGATTTATTTCATTTAATTTAGCATGTTTCACATGCATTGTTTCATAGGATTATTTATCTCTGTATCCATCCCATTAAATTAATTCCAAAAGATGGATACCTATCTTTGTATCACTAATTGTGCCAAACAGCATTGTTCATGGTAAGCTCTGAAACACTTTTTTTCTACAGAAATCCATTCAGAGTTTTAAGTTGATGATTATTCCTAAGTACCATAAGATCCTCATTTGTAAAATCACATTTTATTTTATTTTATTTAGAGGACTCCTTGGGACAAGGGAATATTGCTGTGGAAGTGACTAAACTGTGTTCTTGCAAGGATAAAGAAGAAACAGGTTTTTGGGGGGAATTATTTTGCATGTTAGCTTCCTATACTTGCCCTTTCCTACCTATATTACAGCAGCAAAGCAGAACCCTGACCTTACAAGAAATAGTTCAGAGATAAAGTTCGTATTCACACTGAATGTAAAAATCAGTTCCTAAACATAGTTCTTTAAAGAAGGAAAGATCCACAGAGATGATGTGCTGTAAGCCTTTAATTTTGTAGACAAGAGACCAGAGGTTCAGAAAATTTGTGACTTGCCCACACTCATAAAAATGAGACCCAAGCCCAGAACTCTAGTTTGGAAGTACTCTTGGCTGGCTGCTGTCCTGGTGCCCATGATCATGTCCTGTGCTCTGTGTATCACTGTGAATGTGAATGTCTCCACCTAGGACGCAGGTTGGAACCTGCCCATTTCACAGGAGGGGTGAGTAAAATCGTGGCTTCATTTCTGTCTGGCTGGTGTTCCCATCCCATTTTGTTTCTCTTTTCCGTTGAAGTACTTGCTGCTACGCAATACCTCGGTTGGGAATCATGCTTATGAGAACAAGGGGACGGAACAGTCTGCTATGGCAATCTGTCAGCACTTCTACAAGCAAGGAAACATCTGTCCTGGAAATGATACCTTCGACATTGATCCAGAGATTGAAACTGGTGATGTTCTTCAAAAGACTAGAGCTTCTATTTTTTAACTACTTGATTCATACTTAAAATCAGCAATTTCATCTCTGAAAATGTTCATTTGGTCAGTGCTATTAGGTCATAGCAAGAAACTATGTAGGATTTATTATGTGTTGGGTACTGTGACTTTACTGTGACTTATGATTTTAAAAAGCAACAAGAACAAACCAATAAGGCAAAATATGTTATTATCCTCATTTTATAGAAGAGTAAAGTATGGCTCAGAGTTAAGTGATATGGTCCAGATGGAGCTAGTGAGAGGTGGTGCTGAAATTTGACCCAGGCTGTCTGTGCTCTTAGGCACTATATTCTTAGCCTCTGTGTTCCACTCCCTCTTGCACTGGATAAGCCAGTTAAGTACACTTACCCTTACAAAACATTGTACCTGCAAATTCGTCATGCATATAAAACTCCCTCCCCTCAACTGCTCTTCTCTACTTAATATCTTTTTTAATCATTTATTTATTTTTTAAGATTTTATTTATTTACTCATGAGAGACAGAGAGAGAAAGGCAGTGACATAGGCAGAAGGAGAAGCAGGCTCCATGCAAGGGAGCCTGATGTAGGACTCAATCCTGGGACTCCAGGATCATGCCCTGGGCTGAAGGCAGGCGCTCAACTGCTGAGCCACCCAGGTGTCCCAACTACTTAGTATCTTTGATGGTTGGTTCGAGAAGGATCCAGAACCAGGACTTAGAATAGAATGGCTTTTTATATATATATATATAATTTTTTTTTTTAAGTAGGTTCCATACCCAGAGTGGAGCCCAGTGCAGGGCTTAAACTCACAACCCTGAGATTAAATTAGCTTAAGTCTTTAAGTTAAAAGTTAAATGTTCAAATGCTTTTAACAATAGTCACTGGGATATTTTTTGGAGGAGGATAGTAAAGGGTTACAGTACAGATTAGTGAAATCTTCTAAAATACTGTCTTCCTTTTTTTTAAGTGCTTAAGGAGAAATAATATTTTTAAAAAATAGGTCCCTTGGGATCCCTGAGTGGCGCAGCGGTTTGGCGCCTGCCTTTGGCCCAGGGCGCGATCCTGGAGACCCGGGATCGAATCCCACGTCGGGCTCCCGGTGCACGGAGCCTGCTTTTCCCTCTGCCTGTGTCTCTGCCTCTCTCTCTCTCTCTCTGTGACTATCATAAATAAATAAATTAAAAAAAATTAAAAAAATAGGTCCCTTAAAATCAGAAAATTTTATCTTAGGTACTACAAGTGCTTCATGTTTAGGATACAAAAAAGAGAGAAGAGACTCAAAGTTTAGGCTCACAGAGGCAGGAAGGAAGATAGCATTCTATAGAAGACTAATGTGAGAGTTCAGGTCTCCTACCCCTTACCCACTCCAGAAATGCTGTAGCCACTTGTGTCTTAAAAATAAATGACTCATTCAGTCAGAGAAAGACAGTTCTGTGGTTTCACTCATATGTTGGAATATAAGAAACAGTGCAGAGGACTATGGGGAAAGGAGGGAAAACTGGGAAGAAATGAGAGGAAGACAAACCATCAGAGACTCTTCACTCTGGGAAACAAACTGAGTGTCGCTGGAGGGGAGGTGGGTGGGGGGATGGGGTGGGGGTGGGGTGACAGGGGGATGGGTATTAAGGAGGACATGTGTTGAAATGAGCCCTGAGCCTTACACCCAATGGATGAATTACTGAACTCTACATCTGAAACTAATGATGTACTATATGTTGGCTAATCTAATTAAAATTTATTTTTATTTTTTTTTTCTTGTTAAAAAGAAGCAACTCAGAATTCTTCACCCAAATTGCTTCTAAGAGCCTTTTTAAAATTTTTAAAAAAGATTTTATTTATTCATTCATGAGCGACAGAGGGAGAGAGGCAGGGACATAGGCAGAGGGAGAAGCAGGCTCCATGCAGAGAGCCTGACATGGGACTCGATCCCGAACCCTGGGATCATGCCCTGAGCCAAAGGCAGATGCTCAACAGCTGAGCCACCCAGGTGCCCCCGAATTAAAATTTAAAAAAGAAACAACTCATTGTAACCAAGTGGTACTGACGTTTAGCTTTTAAATCTGAATTCAGAAGAATAGTAGAATCGGAATATCTGGTCTTAAACGCTCTATCCTTTCAAGATGCAGGTCACTTCTTTATTTTAGGCTCTGTGCGTGACGTTGTGCTCCTTTCCATGGCAGAGTGTTTCTCTGTAGAGCCAGCTGAGCCTTTCCACGTCGGAACGCTGGAAGAAAATAAACTCAACTTAACGCTGGACTTTCACAGGTGAGGGAGGCAGGTGGGAGGGCAACCTCTGTGTCTGCGCGCGTAGGTTTCCGCTGCACTAAAGCCTCCCCTGTCCCCTAGACTCCTCACGGTGGACCTGCAGTTTAAGCTGAAGGCCATTAATCTGCAGACCATTCGGCATCACGAGCTCCCTGACTGTTATGACTTTACTCTGACTGTAAGTGTGGGCTGGGCTGAATTTGGTCCCAGTCCCTGAATTTTTGAAGAAAAATTGTTTGACTTAGTTACATGCTTCATCTACCTGTGTTAAAGCATGGTCAAATGTATGGGATGTCTGCACTTGAGTGTGCAGAGGGGAAGCGTTGGTATAGCTGCCTTTATTTCGTGATGGTACCTCGTTTACTTGTTAATTATCCTCTGTACCTCATTGTAGGTTCTGGGAGGACGGGGCCTATGCCTTGTTCGGTGCCTGGCACAGGGCAGGTGTTCAAATACAAAAGGAGCAGAGGCTTCTGGGTCCTCTATAGTTGGCCCTTACCAGTCTGTAGCTGTCAGCTTAGGGTCATTGCCAAGAGTTCCTGCTGCTGAGGCTCCTGACTCCTGTGGCTTATTGTTTGCAGTACCTTCCGTGGGCTGTGTCTGGATGCTCTGGCTCCTCCACCTTCAGACACGCTGTCGCATCTTTGTTCTCTATATTCCAGTGGCACATGGAGCTATTAATGCTCTCTAGAGAGCACAGGATGCCTCTCTTGTGAGTTGATCACCTCATTAGGCTCAGGGTCAGTAATCCAATGCTGAGTGGGGCATATGTGGAACTGCATTTGATACAACTTGCCTTCATACGGTCCAGATTGCTGTTGCTTCGGCAGTACTTCGTACCAGAGCTACGTTCATGATATTCAACTAATTGGCTATGAGAAATCGAGTTTTCAGAGGTTGAGGTTAAAAAAGTTTCAGAATATAGTATAATTAATAATTATGCATATCATTTAACAGGAAAAAACACTAATACTATGACTATTTTGTATTAGGCTACAAGTTTTGATCCTAATATTAGTCAGGAAGTTATGAGTTTTCAATATTACTTGATTTTTTAAAAAATTGAGCCACTGCCCACAGTCTTCTCCCTTGCCCCTCCTCTCCCTTACCACCCCCTGTACCGCTCTCAAACTGAGAGTCACCTTTCAGAAGTTTTATCATTCTCACGGCTCAGTTCAACTGATCTCCTCTTTGTGGATTCTTTTTGTGATGCTTCAGATAGGAACACATCCTATGCTCTGAACTCCAGGGTTTTATTTTTATTTTTTTAAAGACATATTTATTTATTTATGAGAGAGAGAGAGAGAGAGAGAGAGAGAGAGAGAGAGAGAGAGAGGCAGAGACACAGGAGGAGGGAGAAGCAGGCTCCATGCTGGGAGCCCGACCTGGGACTCGATCCCGGGACTCCAGGATCGCGCCCTGGGCCAAAGGCAGGCGCCAAACCGCTGAGTCACCCAGGGATCCCCCTTTGGTTTTGTTTTTATATTTTAGGTAGGCTCACCCACCTTCTCTTTTGTTTTGTGCATTTCTAGGCTTTTATCATCAACTCTACTAGATTGAAAGCTCCTGGAAGGCAGGAATCATTTTACTTAATCTCTGCATCCCTCAAAGCACATAGTAGATGACTCAAATATTTGTGGGATGAATAAATGAAACATTTGTAAAATGTAGGCCCCTTCCCATGACTCAGTACAGTGATGAGAGCAACCTGGCCTGTTAGCTGCTTGCAGCTGTTCTGTTTTTCCTGTTATTGCAGATTCAACCCAAGCTATGCCTGTGCGTTGTGGATTTAGTGTTGTGTCTCACAGAACTATAGTAGAACTGATGCCCTAGAGGGTGGTTTAATAATAGTTCATGTTTACTTATAACTTTATGGTTATAACTTTATGGTTATAAATAAACATGAACTGGGGCACTATATGCTGATTTAAAATGCAAGGGCTTTGGAATCAGGCAACCCTAGATTTTAATCTAGTTCACCAGTTAGTAGCTTATAACTTTAGGCAAATTACTTAATTGGTTTGAGTTCCAGTTTTCTCATTTGTTAAAACAGAATTAATGCCCACCTACCTAACAAAGTTGTGAAGACATCTATCTGTTATTTGTCTATCTAATATACTTCATATATATGAAATATATAAAGGACCTCCCTTAGTACCTGGTATATAACAGCTATTTATGAAACTTTCCTGGGTGTGCCTGTAATTTGGATTCATCATGTAAAAGTAATGCATTAACATTCATTCATAGTGGTTTAACATATTCTTGCATCATATATTTTGAAACTATTAGGTATATAAACATCTAGGATTCTTGTATTCATTTGAGGAACTAACTCTTACATCATTATGAAATGGTACTTTTTATGCCAGTAATATTCTTTGCTCTAAAATCTACTTTGTTTGACTTTAATATAACTACCCCAGCTTTCTTTTAAGTAGTGTTCCCCACTCTTTTGATATTAAGGTATTTGCATCTTATGTTTAAAGTGGGTTTCTTTCTCTAGACAACATAGAGTTAAGTCTTGCTTTTTTCTGTGCTATGTTTTCCCCACTCTTTTGATATTAAGGTATTTGTGTCTTTTTTTTTTTTTTTTAGGTATTTGTGTCTTATGTTTAAAGTGGGTTTCTTTCTCTAGACAACATAGAGTTAAGTCTTGCTTTTTTCTGTGCTAATCTGTTCTTAATCCCATCCATTATTTCTTCTTTGTTTGAAGAATTGAACTTCTTTGGAGCCCTCCTGAGATGTGATTGACATTGAGCCAAAGTGTATTTACTCAGCAGATATTTAGTGAGCACCTACTATTTGTAAAGCCCAGAGACTGTGTGGGGAAAAGTATGGGTTCTCCTTAGCAAAGATTTCTGACTCATTCAAATAATATGAAGCATCTTTCCTTTGTGAGGCCATGGGCTGGGTCCTCCAGCAGCTGTGGAGGTATGCGACACTGACAACACTTTAAGTTGCTTGTCAAGGAAAGATGCTTACAGTCCAACATGAGAAACAGAGTAATCAGACTCACCAAATTTATTTGAAAATTTATATCTGCAGGCATATCTGGTTACCCCACATGAAGAAGCTTGAGTAAAACTCATTTAAATGGCAGACTTTTTTGTTGTTGTTTTTTGAGATTGAGAACACAAGTGGGGGAACATCCGAGGGAGAGGGAGAAGCAGGCTCTCTGTTGAGCAGGGAGCCCAGCAGGGGGCTCAGTCCCTGGACCCCGGGAACATGACCTGAGCTAAAGGCAGATGCTTAACTGCTTAACCGCCTGAGCCACCCAGGTGCCCCTAAATGGCAGACTTTTAAAAGGATGTTTTTCCTTTAGGACTTGAGAGAGGAGGCACTAAAAACAAGCTGAACAAAACCACAACTTATTTCCTTGCTTTCCCTATCCTGATAAGGGGAAAGTGGAGAGAGCTAGAAGGGGGAGACAGTAGGAATATGAAAGTTGTTCTGGTGTGGCTTTGTCCTGCTGGGTGCCTGATGTCCTGAAGTGGTGATCCTTGAAGCAAGACACAGCTGTTGACTCCCTGGCACCACATCCTTTTTTATATATGGTACTAGAGTGACTAAGAAATCTAGGTCCAGGGAATCCCTGGGTGGCTCAGTGGTTTAGCACCACCTTCAGCCCAGGGCGTGATCCTGGGGTCCTGGGATCAAGACCTGGTCAGGCTTCCTGCATGGACCCTGCTTCTCCCTCTACATGTGTCTCTGCTTCTCTCTCTCTCTCTGTGTCTCTCATGAATAAATAAATAAAATCTTAAAAAAAAAGAAAGAAAAAGAAATCTGGGTCCAGAATGAAAACCTGTGAAAACCTCCATCTGAAATGTTCCAAGCCTGAGATAATGAACCTCTGTCTTAGTAAGAATTATAACAGCACTGACAAACTATCGCCAGCTGAGTCCCTGGGGTGGTGGGGAAAAGCATACTTGTATCAGCTCTTGTTCATACCAAGAGGACATCTAGAGGTAAAGAGGAGAGAGATCTCTTGTTTTATGAGTTGTCCAGGGCTGGAATACTATCCTAGAAATATAGGATATTAGAGACTAAAAGATCTCAACCGAAGATCTTGTTCAACTTTCTCATTTCACAGAGAAATAAAGGGCATTTCCCAAGTTGAACAGTTAGCATCAGCTCAGGGATGAGTCTGAGATAAGAATCTGGGTGGGTATCTGTTCACCTTAAAAGATTTGTTTCCTAATTAATATATAGAGACGTCTTGACTTTAAAAACTATAGCTATGTTTTTGACAATTTTCCTGTTCTTCACAGATAACATTTGACAATAAGGCCCATAGTGGAAGAATTAAGATAAGTTTAGATAATGATATTTCCATCAGAGAATGTAAAGACTGGCATGTATCAGGATCAAGTAAGTGGTGAATTTTACTTGTTTTGAAAATGGTTACTAAATAAAAGAGCTATTAAATTACTGGGATATGTGGAGCAACAAATGAAAGAATTGGAGCATTCTCAAGTTCCTAATTCTCTGCAAATAGATCAACTCATTGTAGGGATCTGGTGTTCCAGGCAATTCATATGTTATTAGTAATTGAAATGACTTTTACTGACCTTTACATGTGCCCTCAATGGCCCAGTTCTTACCAAAAAGTGCCCCAGGAAAAAAAAATCACATATGCCCAAAGTAATATTGAGTGCTTACTGCATAAGAACTTCCATCTACATTTTAATACTTTTAAAATTTCCTTGAGATAAGCAGCATCCCTATTTACACAAACTAAGAACCTAAGGCTTAGAAGTAAATCTTGGTGCCAGTAGTCATTACAGCCAGGGAGAAGTCAGGTAGGCTCACCCTGAAGCATCCCGCACATTATATTTATATTTAGGAATGAGGAAAGTGTCCATTCTTGGAAATATGGACATGGACATGCATTCAGCTATAGACTAAGTACCATTGGGAATTTTGGAGCTGAACTGGAGAAAATTGACTGGAAAAGAATGTATCTGTCTCATTTTCTAGCCCCTTTGGTATGTTATACTGGACTAAGTCAGGGGTTCTTGGATTCTAGTGAGCAGAAGAATCAAGGCAAGGCAGTCCACAGGTCTGGGGTGGGACCTAGGATTGTGCAGGTCATCCTTTTCCATGCAATACTTAGAAAATCATTGCCTTACGGCTTCCTGTTCGTGGATTCACAAAGTTCAGAAGTGGTAATGAGATAGTAAGGAGAAATGAAATTAAATTTCTTCATTCTAGTGTTTTTTTTTTCACTATTAGTTAACTTTAAATATATGAGGCTCTTGAATCACAAATTTCACTTCAACTGTAAGATTGTTTATTTGAAAGACAAGCCTGTTATGTCATCTGTAACCATTGCAATACTTCTCCACAAACTTTAGAATAGAGAAAATGAGAGCATATGAAGGTACCGGGCACTCAGGCTTTCTCTCAAATGTTTCTTAGTTTTTAAGTTTTTCTAAAGTAGATATAGACATTTTGGTAACAATTAGATGCCCTTTGGCCAATATTAATGGGATGCTTCATTATAGAGTTTTGAACTATAGAACTATAGTCTTAAGTGCTTATCTTTTTATCAGTCTACCTTGTCAAACAAAGACAAGCTCTGTAGTACAGCACATGACAGCGGAGACCTCTGCTCACCTTCTTCACCTGGCTCTAATCATGGTGGCTAGCATTTTGTGCTTGAAATTCTCCAGAATCTCTACGTGGGTGGCTCCACTTTGTCACTCAGGTCTCATCTGAGACCTGCTGCAGCTTACAGTGCCTTCTAAATGAGCCTCTTCACCCCATTCCCCTACACCAGCCTCTCTCACTTACACCAGTGGTTCTTGAACTTCAGTGTCATCTGAGAGAGCTTGTGAAAATGTGGTTTCTGATTCAGTGGGTCTAGGGTCTGGCTAAAGAGTGTGCATTTCCAACAGTTCCCAAGGGATGCCAAGAACCACTAATACAGAGGGACAGATGCTGGAGACAGACTGCAAAGGGTTGAATCCTGACTCTGCCACTTACTGGCTATGGAACCTTGGGCAAGTTTCTATGACCTCTTTGTGCATCATTTTCTCACCTGCCAAGTGGGGAATAATCACACACACCCCTTTACTGGCATTGTTGTGAGGATCAAATGCATCAATACATATAAAGTGCTTAGGACTATGTGTGGCATAGCAATACCTGTTAGTTACTATGCTTTATTTTCTTCATATCACTTACTCCTGTCTGAAAGCATTGTGTTCATTTACTTGTTTACCTCCCTGCATGTCGCACTGCAATAGAATAGAAGTTCCACAAAGTTGGGGGTCTATCTTGGTCACCACTTGGTATGCATTCAGCTATAGACTGAGTATTCTCAACATCTAGAAAAACACCTGACACATAGTGGGTTCTTAATAAATATTTTACACCCAGGTAGTATATTTTAGTAAAATGTGCAGGAAGGCTAACTGTATTAAGAACAAAATACCATAGGCTGATAATTAAAGATCTATTATTGATGGTTGTAGTAGTTTTTAAAAGAAGGAATTTTTTTTAATTTTTTTTAATTTTTATTTTATTTATGATAGTCACACACAGAGAGAGAGGGGCAGAGACACAGGCAGAGGGAGAAGCAGGCTCCATGCACCGGGAGCCCGACGTGGGATTCGATCCTGGGTCTCCAGGATCACGCCCTGGGCCAAAGGCAGGCGCCAAACCGCTGCACCACCCAGGGATCCCCAAAAGAAGGAATTTTTAAGAAAAGATTTTATTTATTTGACAGAGGGAGAGGGAGCATAAGCAGGGGGAGTGGCAGGTAGAGGGAGAGGCTGGCTCTCCACTGAGCAGAGATGGGGGGCTCAATCCCAGGACCCTGGGACCATGACCTAAGCTGAAGGCAGATGCTTAACCAACTGGGCCACCCAGGTGCCCCTAAAAGAAGGAGTTTTAGCTTTCTTTAAATACTCATGGGGAACACTTACCAGTTGTTTTTGCAGAAAGAATGTTTGAACTATCTATATTATTCCAAAAAGCAAAGTGAAGGGTTCCGATAAAATTTGAAAATGCTTCTAACGGATGCAGAAAGGCCTGAATCAATGGAATGGCTCATCATATTTTTTGAACAAGAGATTCTACATTATGTATATGCCAATTCTCCCCTAATTTATACATTTAACATGAGTCCCCCCCCAAAAAAAATTACCAGTAGGCTTTTTATTGGAATTTAACATCTGATCCTAAAGAATATATGAAAAACTAAGCAAGAACATCCAACAAAAATTCCAGAAAAGAGTAATGAGAGTTATTTGTCTTAGGCATTAAAACACACAAAAACATCAAAAGGGTAAAATATGGTACTTGAATACATACAGTAATTTGGCAGCTGATACGGATGGCATTTCAAATCATTGGGAATAGGATTTAGTCTTTTGATTGCCAAAAATAAAAGATTGTTAATTTCCAACAGCGGAGAAGATGTGGAGTTATGTGTCAGTGTGTACATTGGTACGATCTTTTCAGAGGACAATTTCTTAGGATTTCTTTTCAGAACTATGTATATGCCTTACCCCAACAATTCCACCTTTATATATTCATTTGCCTAAAGAATCATGTGCACCTGTGCATAGAGAGGACTTGGAGAATTGTAGCAGGAAAAAACAGATTACAATCTGAGTGTCCTTGTAAATGTTAAATATCTGTACTGTGGTATGTAATGCAGCAGTTAAATGAGGCTAAAAATGAAAAGAAAATAAAAGAAGTAGAGGTCACCATATTGATGTTCCGCTGCATAAGCAGGTAATGCTCTTTCCTTCCAGTTCAGAAGAACACTCACTACATGATGATCTTTGATGCCTTTGTTATTCTGACATGCTTGGCTTCACTAACCCTGTGCCTTCGATCTGTAATTAGAGGACTTCAGCTTCAACAGGTAGGGCTTCTTGCCCTCTAGAAATGCTTCGGCCCCTGTGATTGACAGAGAAATTCACTGTGCCTCCTCTCTCTTCTCTAAAGGAATTTGTCAATTTTTTCCTCCTCCATTATAAGAAGGAAGTTTCTGTTTCTGATCGAATGGAATTCGTCAATGGATGGTACATTATGATTATTATTAGTGACATGTTGACAATTATTGGATCAATTCTGAAAATGGAAATTCAAGCTAAGGTAAATTTTTTCCATTTATACCATCATTAGTATCAGATTTGCACTAATATTTTTCCAGAATGTGAGAATTTGCAGAGTAAATGATTTCTTTCAAACATTATGTTGAGTAAACTTCAAATCAGTAGCAGTCTTTTAAATCTTGTCAGGAAATCTCTTCGTGATTCTTTAGGCACACAGGCCTCCGTGTCAGAATCATTTGGGGATCTGGTAAAAATGCTCCATGTTAGACTGACTGAATCTGAGCCCTGGGAGTGGGCCAGTGAATTCTTACCCCATGGAAACTAAGGTTTCACAAGAAATGCTAGAATCTTCAACAACAACAAAAAAAGTAGGACTGGGAGTGAAAGTGAAACCCACCTACTACTATTTGAGTGCTTGCAGTTGCTGCCCTTTTCTTACTTTGCCCATTGATAGGCTATAAGGTTTTCCATTTTTTAAAAAGATTTTATTCATTCATTCATTCATTCATTCATGAAAGAGGAAGAGAGAGAGAGAAGGGAGGGTAGAGTGAGAAGCAGACTACCTGTTGAGCAAGGAGCCAGATGCAGGGCTTGATTCCAGGACCCTGAGATCATGACCTGGGCCAAAGGCAGACATTTAACCAACTGAGCCACCCAGGTGCCCCCCAAGGTTTTCCATTTTAAGTTAGGATTAACTTAGCCTAGAAATCAGTTGTACCTCCAAAGCAAAAATCAAATGAAAAAAAACAAAAACCCATAACCCTATGTTGTTCAAACTAACCTTATTCAAATTTATATTTTTCATATTTTTTTCTTTTCTGAAAACTCTAAAACCCCTGCCCCATCCTCACTGTCCACTGATGACCTTCTTTCTATTTCACAAAAAAACAAGAAAAAAATAGAAATTCCACTACCTCCCACTTCATTTATCTACCTACCAGCATCGGTTCTCTACAGCACCCTTCCCATTAGCATGTTCTTCTTTTTAAGAGACAAAAATCTCAACCTAGTTTCCATCTAGCTACTTCCCTATTTTTTTTGGCTCCCCTTCATATAGCAAAAGACCTCAAAAGAGTAGTTAATCTTGTTTCTAATTCTGCTCCTCCCATTCTCTATTATATCTGTTCCAAACAGGCTGCCCTGCCACTCTGCAGAGAAATGTTCCTCCAATGACCACCAGTGCTGCTAAGTTAAATAATCTATTATTTATCCTCATCTTGACCTATCAGCACATTTTAACACTGAGAGCACTCCCTTTTTGATGATGCACTTTTTCACTGGGCTGTCACCCGGTTCTCTCCTACATCACAGACTGGTATTCTGACTCCCTTTGCCGGCTCCTTCCCACCTCTCCAACAGACTGAAGTGACAATGCCTGAAGGTGCAGTGCTTGCACATATTCTCTTTCCCACCACTATCTGGGTGATCTCATCCTGTCCCATGGCTTTAACTAGTAGCTCTCTACCACTGATTTTTATTTCATTGATTTCTAAATCTATATCTCTAGGTTAGAATTCTCCCCTGAACTCTGATCTCAAATATCCTACTGTTGATTTCACATCTTCATTTGATGTCTACTTGGCTCCTCAAATTTAACATACCTAACACAGAACCCCCCCAAATTTCCACCTCCACGGCCCAAACCTGCTTCTTCATAAAGTCTCCATTTCTGATTTCAGTTAATGGCAACTCTTTTCAGTAGCTCAAGACAAAAGCCATAGATGCATCCGTGACTCTTCTCTTTCACTAATCCCATCTCCCCTCCATCTAATCCAAGAGGAAATCCTAGCAATCTATCTTCAAAAATCACCTCTTTGCCTTCACCATGACCAGGCTGGTTCTAGCCACCATCAGCTCTTATCTATATTATTGCAACAGCCTTCTCACACTTCTGACAATCTGCTCTTAAACCATAGCAGCCCAAATGGGATCATATCACTCCTGTTCAGAGCTTTCAAATCTCCCCGGCCTCTCAGATTGAAATGCAAAGTTGTTAAATTACCCATGAGGCCCTAAACTACCTACCCCCTTACCTCTATGACTCTACCCTGCCCGCTTGCTCACTCCAGCCTGACTCCCTATCTTGCCAGGCACCCTCCTACTGTGGGGCCTTTGCACTAGCTAGTCTCTGTGTCTGGAACACTCACTCCTCTCCCAGATTTTTGCTTGGCTTGCTCCCTCACTGCCCTCAGGTCTTTGTTCAAATATCACCTTTTTAGTGAGACCTTCCTGACCAGCCCCATTTAAAATGCAACCCGATAGCCATTCTTTCTCCCCTCCCCTGGATTTTCTCCTCAACACTTACCATCAGCTGAGGTATTGAGGGTTTTGTTAATTTATTTCTATTACTTCTCCCACACACACTAGAATGCAAGCTTCATGGGGGAAGGAAATCTTGTCTCTTTATTCACTTATTTGTTCTCAGCACCTAGAACAATGTGCCTGATTCATATCAACCCCCAAAATATTTTTTTGCCCAAATGAATTCTGTTAAATAATCTCTTTTCCTCCCCTGCCCTGCTCTGTTTTAGAGTCTAACAAGTTATGATGTTTGTAGCATACTTCTTGGGACTTCCACCATGCTTGTGTGGCTTGGAGTCATTCGATACCTCGGCTTCTTTCAGAAGTACAATGTAAGGATTCCATGGATCGCCCGCAATGCTGTTACCATTCCTATCTTTCTGAGTTAGTGCACTGCTTTGGCTGAGGGACAAGTGGATTCTAATGGCCTCTCTTCCTTTCCTAGCTCCTTATTCTGACCCTGCAGGCAGCACTGCCCAGTGTCATCAGGTTCTGTTGCTGTGCCGCTATGATTTATTTAGGCTATTGCTTCTGTGGATGGATTGTGCTGGGGCCGTACCATGATAAGGTACCAATAAACAACTTTTTCCTGTTACTATTAAGTTCCTACATTAGTGCCAGGGGCTTGTTAGCCCTTTAACATGAACTCCTTCTATTTTGTGACTCAGTCTGAAAATGTCGAAGGTAGTATATCTGGTGCCATGTTTATAAACTGGTAAGGTGTGACCAACTCAACTACCTCACCTCCTCCCCTGGAATGTATCAGATAATTATGTCTTTGGTTAGTTAGTTAATTAGTTATTTCCACCAATGAGGTCAAGACTAGATTCATCAATATATATTAGAGTAAGCTATTTAGGCAAGACTTGGAAGTGTGACCTTATTAAAAAGGTAGTATAAAAAGGTAGATAGGGAGAAACTTGAAGAAATATTTGAAAATTTTGTTAACAGAGTTATAGTCTTGATTGTAATGCCATTACCCTAAATGGAATGAACTTTCAAATAAGAAGTATGAACATGCATGCTTAGGACTTGGGTATCTCTAGTGTTTCTCAGAAGGGTTCAGAGGTTTTTCTAGGATCTCTTTCTATGTAGGTAAAGTGGGCGGTAAGACTTGACTCAGAAAAGCACTTAGGGTGAGCCTAGCCCCTTCTGCTTCAATTCAAGCTGTCCCATTAAGGGGAGCCTCAAGAAGGAGCTGCTCGTTCCAGGAAAAATAGTAGATGTTATAGAGGTTGTGTATACCACACAGCAAATGCTTATAGTTACACGAGATTAACTACATAGTTTGCGGCAGCAACTTGAGATATCTGGTCCCATTATTTTATGATGTCATGAACAAAACCTCCACTGGAAAGGTACATGGAAAAAAGTGAACTTTTTCTCTTTTCCTTTTCTAGTTCCGTTCTCTGAACATGGTCTCTGAGTGCCTTTTCTCTCTGATAAATGGAGATGATATGTTTGCCACATTTGCAAAAATGCAACAAAAAAGTTACTTGGTCTGGCTGTTTAGCAGAATTTATCTCTACTCATTCATCAGCCTCTTTATATATATGATTTTAAGTCTTTTCATCGCACTGATCACTGATACGTATGAAACAATTAAGGTAAGTTCATCAAGAGCCGTAAGTAGCAGCATTTTCCCAGAACTTGTAGAATGGCAATAAAATAGGGTACCTAAGAGGGAAGAGAACTGATAGAATGTTCATTTTTTTCAGGGTAGAAAAGAAAGACTTCAATTTTATTTTTTTTAAAGATTTTATTTATTTATTCATGAGAAACACAGAGACAGAGGCAGAGGGAGAAGCAGGCTCCATGCAGGGAGTCCGATGTGGGACTCGAACCTGGATCATGGGATCAGGACCTGAGCCCAAGGCAGATGCTCAACCGCTGAGTCATCCAGGCATCCCAGACTTCAATTTTAGATACTGAGACACAGAAATGAAGAATTAGAATTTGTAGAATGTTGAGAGTTCTGTCTCTACGTAAGATTTTTCAAACAAACTTCTAAAATTTTATTAGAATTATAAAGACCAGGGGTGCCTTGCTGACTCAGTCAGGAAAGCATGCGACTCTTGATCTTAGGGTCATGAGTTTAAGCCCATGTTGGGTGTAGAGATTACTTAAAACTTAAAAAAAAAAAAAAAAGACTTCTAAAAATCAGTAAGCATCGGGTGAACAAAATATATGGCATTTCAAAATTTTATTTTTTTTAAATCTAATTTTCATAGAGAAAAATTGAACTCTTAGTTTGGAGCGTGCTATGACTGAACCCATACTCTTTGCAAGGCCCTGTCTGGGACCATCCCAGAGGCCTGGTCTCTAGAAGAGTGAAGGGATTGATATGTCAAGTACTAGCCAGGTATGCTTTATACATGTCAGAAACATGATTTGAAAAACTGTCACTTAGATGGGATATTTTAAAACTCAGTTCGAGCCCTTTGAAATATGGAAAGGCAGGGTAAATATCCATATATATTTAAATTTCTAATAACTTTATGCTATTAGGTATACTATTAGCATAGACACTTCCACTTGCGGAGTTTCTGGGTATGAGAGGGCTGATGAAACATGATGTCATCCAAATGGTCCTAGGGACAAAGTGAAGGTTGGCAGAAGTTGATGGGTTATGAGTTGATAATTATGAATACCTTGCTTATGGTAAGGTAAGTGAGGACTATGACTTCATTTTTACTGAATTAGAGGGCTCCCTGCGTGGAGCCTGCTTCTCCCTCAGCCTGTGTCTCTTTCTGTGTCTCTCATGAATAAATAAATAAATAAAATCTTTACTCTTTACTGAATTAGATTTTAAGAACCAACCGTCCTCCGTACTTGCTTGGCAGATGTGTGCTTAGAGTCACCAAAGCCACTGGGAAAGATTGTAGTACCTGTCCAGATCCCTCCCCACTGTGCTCTAAAAATTCACTGCCTTTAGCTTTGCATGCAGAGAACTACATGTTATTTAAGGGTGATATCTTAGGTCTCAAAGAATAGTAATAGGAGTCGACATGTCTTGATGATACAAGTCTGAGACTCACCGTTTAGTTGTTTACCTCTTTCCATGAACTCAGAGCACCTGTCAGGTGGGCAAGTGATGGCAGATCTTTTCTAGTCAGGGCATGTTCTAGAGATCTTAGACCCCCAAACTGATGCTAATACAGGGCCCTTAAACACACCTGTCTGTCTGAAAGGGAGACTCCAAAATGATGTGCAGGCTGGATTCCCCCTGGAAAGACAGCTCAGACTCATTTTGTTGAACCAGACCCACAAAAGAGCCTCTGAAGACACTGCAGAATTCTAGACCCACTTTTCCTTAGCTAGACCGAAGAATTGCTCTAGAGGCAATATCTTCCTGAAAATACTTGGCAGTGACTGAACTATCCCCCTAGAAAGATCCCCCTCCCTTGCCAAATATTGAATTTGGAATAAAACTGTTTTCAAGGGACTTATTCATGAGAGCATTTTTATCCCCCTTATTCTTCCGTGTAGCATTACCAACAAGATGGCTTTCCAGAAACTGAACTTCGTACATTTATATCAGAGTGCAAAGATCTACCCAATTCTGGAAAATACAGATTAGAAGATGACACTCCAATATCTATATTCTGCTGTTGTAAAAAGTAGCCATCAGATTAATCTGTGCTCTGGAGGGAAATATACAATATAGCTGAGTTGGGAAACTATATGGATATTTTAAGATCAGGTGTCCTATGTTTAAAGACCATTACTTTGAGCAAACTGATAGCTGTAATTGATCAAAAACTATTTATACTTTTAAAAGCAACGTTTAATGTCTTTTGCAGCTTTATGTTGGATTTTTTTTTAAACTAGCTTTGATGAGAGAAGCTATTGGATTCTTATATCTTGTTTATTTTGCCATAGTTTTAGGATATGTTCTCCATCCCCTTCTTCAGCTCCTATCCTCTTGAGTCTAGCTATCCTGCCTGGATTGATTGTATCATCAGGGGAGAACAATGCCTGGTCTGACTTCACACAACTCACCAACCCTGATCTTGACCACACTCTGGGGTTCGTCTCTGAGAGAGAGGGGGGGATGTGGTTGCTGTGTATCAGTAATCATCGTATTTTAAAATCTTCTCTTAAGGGGCAGAGTAAGAAAGAGACAACTATTACCAGCAAACAGTCTAAGATTTGGTCCTGAAGGGCAACTGTTACATGATGCCGCTTTTAGTTCCAGAAAGGATCAAGTTTTTTAGTATTCATGTATAAGTTTTCTCTCCTTCAGTGTTAAAATACGGAGTTAAAGAGTACCCTTTATATGTATAAAAATTAAAGTGCATACCAAGGGCATATTCAGTTCTACAGGGATTATTTTAGTGTTTGCATGGCCTTGCAAAAACTCTCTGATGTACTGTGCCCCTCACAGCACATTCAATCTCACAGAAGAGTGTTTTAGGATCAGGAACTGTGGTTTTGGGGGAGAGGTTCGAAAACTCACATTAAAAACATTTTGAAAAACAATACTGCTCAAAACGTAAAAATAAATGGGAAATATATGCCTTCAAAAGACACAGAAACAAAGTCTCCACCCCTGGATACTGCTGATTAGAATTTCAGGGATTTTTACAACATGTATCTTTGTTTTGTGTGCAAAACATGAATTTAGTGGTGTGCAATAAAGGTTTTCTCAAAGCAATCTTTTTTTTTGTAAAGGAAACTGGTTTGTTAATTTTTTGTTTTAAGGGTTAAATGAATATAGCTTTGAGACACTGAAGTCTTATTATTTAACAGAAAGTCACTCATAAAAATGACTCCCAATGCTGAAATGTGAGGTTTTACAATGAGTGTAAGCTGGTGTTTCATTTGCACATTGAAATTTGAGATACTTGGAGTTCTCCATTGTAACTGTTACTCCCTCTACAGTGTTTATTTTTTTATTTAAATTCAATTACTTAACATATAATGTATTATTGGTTTCAGAGGTATAGTTCAGTGATTCATCAGTCTTATATAATACCCAGTGCTCATTACATCCCACGTCCTCCTTAATGTCCATCACCCGGTTACCCCACCCCCTTCCCCTCCAGCATCCCTCAGTTTGTTTCCTATGATTAAGAGTCTCTTATGATTTGTCTCCCTCTCTGATTTCATCTTGTTTTATTTTTTCCTCTCTTCCCCTATGATCTTCTGTTTTGTGTCTTAAATTCCACATATAAGTGAGATCATATGATAATTGTATTTCTCTGATTGACTTCTTTCACTTAGCATAATATCCTCTAGTTCCATCCATGTTGTTGCAAATGGCAAAATTTCTTTTTTTTTGGATGGCTGAGAAGTACTCCGTTGTCTGTGTGTGTGTGTGTGTGTGTGTGTGTGTGTATAATATCCTCTTTATCCATTCATCTGCTAATGGACATCTGGGCTCTTTCCATAGTTTGGCTATGGTGGACATTGCTGCTATAAACATTGGGGTACAGGTACCCCTTCGAATCACTACATTTGTATCTTTGGGATAAATACTCAGTAGTGCAATTTCTGGATGGCCTGGGTGTTTGATAAGTATTTACTTACTGTTGGGGTGCCTGGGTGGCTCAGTAGTTGAGCCTCTGCCTTTGGCTTAGGTCCTGGGATTGAGTCCTGCATCAGGCTCCATTCAGGGATCCTGCTTCTCTGTCTGCCTCTGCTTCTCTCCCTGTGTCTCTCCATTCATTCATTCATTCATTCATTATTCATAAATAAATAAATCTATAAAAAAAGAATTTACTTACTGTTTATTTTTAAAATAATACCTTGATACCGATCAATAATCTATCACCAATTACAGCTATTGATGTAAAGTTCCTTTACTTAAGATACGTCACAGGATTTCTTATTGAGAAGCCCCTATCATACCAACATCCTTTAGTCTGAGATTGCCATTGTTGTCATTCTAAGGAGGTTACCACTTCTGATTAACAGATACGGAAGCCTTTGATGTCCTGCACACACACACACACACACACACACACACACACACACACACACCACTAAAGACAAATTTAAAGGGGTCGCCTGAATGGCTCATTCATTTGAGTGTCTGCCTTTGGCTTTATCTTATCTCTTCTCCGCTTTGTGAAACTAGGAAACTTCTTCAGATTAGGAAAACAATTCAAGATCACTAACTGTTGATTATGTGTCTGTCTGTGTAGCAGCAGTGTGGTGAGAATAAAGGCTTTGGAAACTCAAAGACCTGAATAGAAATCTTGGATCTACTACAAATTGTTTGGATGACCTCAGGGCAGTAACCTAAACCTCTCTGAACTCATTTTCCTCATTTCAAAAGGAGATGACAGTACCCAGAGTGCTGAGTGTTCAATGAGATAACATGTAAATCAACCTTCCTACCTAGTGGGCACTCAGGGTTACTCCTGGCCCCTTGAAGTACGGGGCCCTCGCACGTGGTAAACAGTCTTAAAAAACACATAGTTAACAACGAATTTTCTTTTTAACTACCCACTGATAAGTTATCCAGTAGAAATACTGAAGTTTTAGGAAACACTTATAATGAGTAGTTGGTTGATACAAAAAGAAGTTATCCCAGTTTATAGTCCCCTTCTAAAGGGATCGTTGTCCCTAGTAGAGTCCTAGCATTTTGAGGTTAATAGGGTAGTTCCTTCATGGCAGTTTTTCTTTGAATTAAAAAGGCTTGGAAATTCCTTAGTGTAAAAACTGTGTGTATACATATATATCTGTACATATTTACACAATATACATAAAATATGTCTTGCTTTCCATATACTTACTCTTAACACTTTCCAATCAAGCCACAGTCTGTCTTTTTCACGGAATCCACATCTTCCCCACAAGAACAGCCCTGGACAGTTTCCTCTCCGCTTTCTAAAAAGGAACCTAACCAAACCACCCTTGCACCCACCTGTGGGGACTGTACTATGCAAACGGGATCTTCTGAACGTGTCTTCACCCAGTGGGCACCTCTGATGAAAAGGACTCTAAAATAAGGCATTTTTGCCTTAATGACTTTCAAAAGAGGGTCAGTGTATATCTATTTACATCATTCTGTCCAATTACCTCTACCCGCAGACACATATTAAAATAAATACCCAGCAGGGTATCCTTTGAGCTAGCGGACTCCAGAAACCTTTTAAATGCTTGCTGAGCCAAATCGCCTGGAACTCGGGACTTGCGCTGCTGCCGCGTGGAAAGAGAAACAGGACTCGGCACAAAAGAGGCCGTCGCCGGGTCCAGGCTGCCAAGTGAGCATCACCCGCAGCTGAACGTGACATGTGGGCACGTGCCGAGACCCTCCGCCCCAAGATTCCTGCCTGGGCTCCCGCAGGCGGGAGCTCTGGGAGGGAAGGGCAGGGGCTGCAGCAGGTGCACCGTGCTCCCCGCGCTGGGGCGGCTCCAGCTTCCCCGCTCCAGCGCGAGGCGAGGTCTGTTTTCTGGTCCTCGTGCGTCCAGAGCGCTTCACGTCTCTGAACCCTGCGCTTGTCACAGTTTTGTGATCACACGCTTCGGAAGGCAAACACGCCCCAGGGAACGAACTGATCCGGATGAACTTGCCGGGTCACGCGAAGTCCTGGGGGAGAGGACCGTGTCCTTTAAGATTTTATTTATTTATGAGAGAGAGAGAGAGAGAGAGAGAGAGAGAGAGAGAGAGAGAGAGAGAGAGAGAGAGAGAGAGAGAGGCTCCATGCTGGGAGCCCGACGTGGGACTCGATCCCAGGTCTCCAGGGTCACGCCCCGGGCTGAAGGCGGCGCTAAACCGCTGACCTAAACCGGGGATTCCCCGAGGGCCGGTGCCCCCAGCCCCCAGCGCGGCACTGTGTCCTGGATGCATCAGAACGGAACCGGTGACAGGACTGCGACGTAGTGGAGAACCCCCGGAGGGCGCCCGGCAGGAGCCCGGAGCGCAGCGAGCGCGCGGCCCCGCCGCCCGGGGGCAGCGTGGAGGGCGCCCCGCGCCGCCGGCTCCCTGGAGGCCGCTTCTCCGCAGCCAGACCTCGCGGCAGACACCCGGCGCCCCAGCTCCCGGCGCCCCCCGGAGCCGAGCGCAGGGGCCTGGGGCCGGCACGTCGGGGCCGAGGCGGGTGCAGCCGTCCACCCTCCGCGCCCCTCCTGGCGCTCGGGCGCCGCGGCATGCGCCCCGGCCTGGAGGCCCTGCACCTGCCGGCGTGGAGCGGAGCCTCCGGCCGGTCCTGGGGGCCCCGCGGCAGGTGGGTACCCCGGGGCGCTCGGCTCCTCCCCGCCGGGCGCTCCCCGCACCGCCCCCGCCCCGGGCTGCTTGCCCCCCGGGGTCCTCTGGCGGCCGCGCCCCGGCTCCGTCTCGCACGGCCCCGGGGCTCCCAGCGGCCCGCCCGAGGCGCTCCCCGCGCGCTCCCCGGTCCGAGGTGGCGGCTCGGGCCCCCCCTCTGCCCCCCCCTCCGCCCCGGGGTGCACGGCCGCGCCCTGGCCCCGCTCCAGCCCCGGGAGGGCCCCCGGCCCGAGGCCCGAGCCAAAGCCGTGCAAGGTTTCGAAGGCGGAGCACGGCCCGGGAGCGGACGCCGGAGCCGCGGGACCCAGGCCGACCCGGGAGGCGCCGACGCTCCCGAGAGACCCTCGTCCCGGGCCCGGCCGCCCGCTCCCGCCCCGCCCCGCCCCGCCTGCTGGTAACCGCTTGCGGCTGCCTGAACGGGCTGGGCGTGGCCTTCCGGAACACTCGGGCCTTTCGCTCAGGTGGGGGGTTGCGGTGCGGTTTACCCCGATTCCTCCGCCTTTATAGGATGCTGCGAGGCCCACCTGCTCGAGGCCCACCTGCTCGGGCTGCTGCCCGCTGCGCCGCGGGCCCGGGTGAGCGCGCGCAGGCCTGGGCTCCCTCCCGCCCACGGAACACGGGGCGGCCCACACCTTCCTAGGGTGGCGTAGACACGGCAGTATCCTAAGCGGACTTGGCGCCGGCAGGGAGAGCCGCGGCCCAGGAGGAGGGCTTCCCTGATCTCTCTGGTGACTGTCCTGATAAGCATTTATTTCCAGGCAAGTGTGGCATATGTTCGTTTTAGACGTTGGAAAGGCCAGTTTTGAGTTAGAGGACGTAACTTTGGTACGACTTTCTTGGCAACTGGATACTTGTGTATGTTGCACCCAAATGAACATCTCTCTTATTTTTTTTTTTTAAAGATTTTACTTATTTACTCATAGAGACAGAGAGAGAGAGGCAGAGACACAGGCAGAGGGAGAAGCAGGCTCCATGCAGGGAGCCCGACGTGGGACTTGATCCAGGGTCTCCAGGATCACGCCCTGGGTTGCAGGCGACGCTAAACCGCTGCGCCACCGCGGCTACCCATGACCATCTCTCTTAATGCTGGATGCCTGGTTTTAATGGGGCAGATGAGCAGAAGCTGCGTATGTATTTCTTCCATCTGCCTGAGCTCTAAGAGCCGTGTCCCGAGAGCTGGGGAGCAAATGGACTCTGGCTTTACCTAGTGTGCTCTGCTTGGACTGATAAGCAGGCTTGTGCTTATGGCAGGTGTGGTGTATATAATCTTCCTATTTCTTAAATCTTTACTTAAACCAGCATTTTTCTTCGCCTGTTTCCTTCAGGACTTAACCATTTGCGTCATATCCAGTGTCTCCAGAGGCTCCCACTCTTACAGCTCTGGACACATCCTCGGCTGCGCGCACAAATAACTTTTGAAAGGATT